AATTGTTTCAAAGATGTCGTGTTTTATATATATATGTATATGAGCTACCCAAATCTTTTGAGCAAACTATACTTTCTAGTTTTCCTCAAATTATTAAGGTGACCCCTGGGGTGTCCCAAAATTAATCTGTGATGTGAAAGGCCACCGTTGGCTACCCACTGTCTCCGCCATTGCACCTTGGTCCAAGCAAACATACATCTTTGAAACAATTGCTTTCATGCTCTAAAACATGCAGGTGTTGTTGAAGTACAAAAACAACGGCGCCACAACTACAGTGAATTTAACCCCCATTTTTTTGTCTCATCTAAACCTAGGAATTACCTAGAAAACGTGAAACTTTCACCAGTGGATATTTTCAAACATCTCCAGTGTCTGTTCAAGTGTAAACAGAGCTCATGTCTATGTGGTTGGTTTTAAAATAACGTTAAGCAGCGATGCATTTACATGATTACGTTTGATTGTTTCAGCTTGTGTAGGATGGCCCAAAGTTTAAATAATTAAAAAATAATAATAACCATTATCATATATATTTATATATATCTTCTGTGGACCTCTTACCTAACTAATTTGGGTTATCCTCTTCCAGCTGCAAAACTGAGATGATTGAGATCCAGATGAAATGAGATCCACCCTGCTTGTTTGAAGGTCTCTCTTCTTCAGGTCTCTCTTGTAAATGAGTCCTCGAGACTCAGTGGGATCAACCTGTATAAATAAAGGTTGAATGAAAAAACAAGTTTAAACATATTGGCATATCGGATATCAGCCAAAAATCCATTATGGTTCATCCCTGAGTTTCAGGATCACAATGTTTAGTAAAATCTTGTTTCTAGTCGTTCTTCAGCCTCGTCACTGAGGACAAGAAGAGAAATTTGAAATATATTGTATTATTGTATATACTATAAATATATTATAATATATATACACTTGATCAGATACTAGACACAAAGCTTTAAAAATATTCACTATTTTGTATTGTCTTGTGTAAAATAATTTTATAGTAGCTACAATTATACCATGCTGTCGATTTTATCATGACCCAAACAATTAATTTGATCAGAATTAACTTTATTTAAAAAAACCAAAAAAACAAACCCATAAATCTACTTCTGCAGACATACAGTATTTGTTGGTAGCAAATTTTGTCCCATTTTATATCGTAATAATGTTCCCTCGTAACATATGTAAAACTCAAAATGAGTACTATTTAAAATACCGTATGCATATTTACTACAGCTTACACTTAAATTCAGAATGGAGCCTCATTTTTCTCTTTCTGCTTCCCTCGGCTTCTGACTCCAGCAGAGCTACAAAAACTTTAATTGTGTCTCGGTGGACACCACAGAGAGGAGTGCTGGAGACACAACAAAGGAGGATCTGAGGCTATAAATGTCTTCGAACCTCCTCTCATCCTGTCCTCATTATCACTTCCAACACGCAGCTGTACGTCCAGCATGTCCTCCGCTGGTCTCAGCTTCTTCACACTTACTGAAATACTGACGAGCTCTGTGTTTTGTTCTGACGTAGCTCAGCTAAGGCTGCGCTTTGATGAAGGGTTTTGTTCAATAAAAGTTCGAGCCTGCTTAGGCGTGTCTATTAATACCTCTGCTCTCTTTCTGTTGCAGTATCTGGGGTTGGTAGAGGTGGAGGAGTCCAGAGGGATGCACGTATGTGAGGAGGCAGTGAAAAAGCTGAAAGTTGTAAGTACACACACACACACACACACATTTTCTGCTGCAGCACCGACCGATCGACTTTACAAGAACTCATTGCACAGCCAGATGCACCAAACTCATCCAGCAGCGTCGGCCAGAGGAACACACTGATAATACTTTAAAACTTTCCACAGATAGCTCTGCTTCTTCTTGTCACTGGGCTGTGACAGGTGCACCTCCACAAAGTTTTCAAAGGGGAAAGCATCGCTGATAATCCTGGCGCGTGGCACCCCAAAGCGAAAAACTAAGTAACGAGACCCCCGTGTCACGAGCTCCTGTAAAGCTAAAGGCTGGTTTATAGTCTATGAGAAATATGAGCTTGAGTCTTGTTGAGGAAAATAGTGTGTTTTTCTAATCGCAGACCCCGTTTTGTGCTTTGCCCCCAGTCAGAAGAGGTAGAAGGGGATTTGATGAACATATCCTGGTGTGGTTGGTCAGAACTTCATGGGTGTGTGTGTTTATGAAAAGAAGCTGCTGGAGCTCATCTCTGAAAGCAGTGTCTTCTGAGGAGCTGCTGGCTGAGGCTGTGAGAAAAAACAACTAAAACGGTTCCAGCACAAATGATAAAGCAAGTCAAATAAAACTTGTAAAATGATAAAATAACTTGTTGAAGGAGAGTGGACCATTTCTGTGCATGAAGGTGTTTGCACGGGGACACAGGCTGTGATGGCCGACAGAGCAGGGCAGCATAGAGAGATCTGCATCATCTGCTTTTAAGGGTGGTGGTCTCCCATCCATCCATTCATTATCTTTACCTGCATCTTTTTTTCTGAGTCGCAGGCGTCACTGGTGCTCATATCCAGGTACGAGAGGTGGGGGACACCCTGGACAGGTCTCCAGTCCATCACAGGGACACATAGAGACAAACGAGACAAACCACCATTCACTCTCTCACTCAGAAGAGTCCCCGGCCAAGATTCAATCTGACAACCTTCTCGCTGAGGCAACAGCACGACTCACTGCACCGGGGGCGGTTTGTTTGTGTCAAATTCACAAAATACCGTTTCTTCTGCGTTGACAACAGAAATACCAGATCTTCTTTTTCTAACTCCTCTATCATCTGAATAAACATCCATTCTGAAAACCGTGCTGTCTGTGTTGATTCTGAGTGAGTGTGACGTGCGCTGCAGTGAGAGGACTCATCAGGACTACTCCCCGCAGTTTCTCTTGGAGTATAAATAGGACATGTGAAAAAGATTGTCTCAAATCACATCAGCGAGATCCAATTTCTTAAAACCTTGTGAAGCATAACCAGACCGTAAAACTTCCCAGGAGTTCTTGTTGAATTGAAAACTCTAGCAAACCCCCCAAAAATAATAAAAAATTGGCTACGTTTTTTTTTTTTTTTATAAATTGAAATCTGTAGAGAATATATAACACACAATTGCTTTCTGGTTGGAGGAAATTGGCTTTCTGCACAAAAATGTTTTATTTTGCTCATCTCAGACCTGCTGTCCTTATTTAGAGAAACTAGTTTTTATGTTTAATTGTTTTTATCCTGAGCAGCACGGTGGTGCAGTTGATAGAGCTACTGCCTCTCAGCAAGCAGGCCCCCGGTTCAAATCCCGGTCCGAGGGCCTTTCTGGGTGGAGTTTGCATGTTCTCTCCGTGCATGCATGGGTTTTCTCCGGGTACTCCGGTTTCCTCCCACAGACCAAAAACATGCATGTTAGACTGATTGGTAACTCTAAATTGTCCCTAGGTGTGAGTGAGAGAGTGAATGGTTGTTTGTCTCTTTGTGTCCCTGTGATGGACTTGCGACCTGTCCAGGGTGTCCCCCGCCCCTTGCACAGTGATTGCTGGACATGGGCACTGGTGACCCCCGTGACGCAAAATGGAAGAAGAGGGTAAAAGATAATGGATGGATGGAGTTTCCTCCATTCCCAAAATGTTGAGAAATTAAAATGCAAACCAAACAAAATTCAGGACTCAGGAAAATAAAACTGTATAGTCAGAAAATGTATAGTTATGCCCCCCCCCCCCCCACACACACACACACACACACTCTCCAGTGACAGACTGGACTGCTGCAGCTTGGTGGTCATCTGAGTCAGGAAACGTAAAATATGAAAGACACTGGAGTTGTGCAAGAGTAACTTTTAAAATAAAAATGATTTAAAGAAAACGCCTCCATGCCGAGCCACAGACCATCTCATAAGAACTGGACCATTTTAGGTCAGCAGCTCTGGAGTGTCGGGGGGGGGGGGGGGAGCTGGAGGGTCATCCCAAAACTTCAATTCAAATGGTCAACAAATCATTTTTAGGGTACTTAAAAATCCCCCCAAATATCACCATAAAATGCAGAATATTCAACTTTTAACTGAACCGAAATGTGGAGTTTTCAAAAGTAAAGGCCCTTAAATAAATTCAAAAAGTTATTTAAATGTAATGTTTTTATTTCATACTGAGGTAGCTCGTAATCAATAACTAGTTTACTGCAAAAGAATAAATTAAATAAAGTTATATAAGGAGGTCGATATGTTCCATGAGGAACACTTTTTTTTTTATCAAGTAAAAGGACCTTCTGAGAGTTTAGCCAAACCAGTTGACACCCCCCCCCCCCCACCACCACCACCACCACGACAACCTCCACCCACCCCAGTGGGCCTTCATCCCTATTTATTTACCTGTTTATAAGTGGTCTTTCTGTGTATTGTTACAATGGAAAAACAGAAAGTGAACTGTGTGACAGTAGAACACACACTGAGACACACACAGTTGACCCCCCCCACCCCCCAGCTGGGGGATGCTGGACTTAGGGAGCGTGTGAACAGAGTGACACAGGACAGCAAGCGTTAAGCGGTGAAACATGCAGAGGGGCGGCGTCGTGCACACATCAAGAGTTTAAGTCACTCAGTTCAAGATCCTGGAATCCTGAGAAGCACGTGTTGTTTTCTGTCGTCTTTCTCAGACCAAAGAAATCCTCTATATCATAGGAATATTATATATTATATATTATAGGAAAGAGCAATACAAGGGAAACAAAAACACTTTATATTTGTATGGTATCTTGCAATTGTTTTTATATGCCCATCGAAGGCAGACGTATTGTGCTACAGTGTCCATCTATATGTTTGTAAACCTTTTCTGATCCTGCCCATTAATTCTGATCCGCTCAAGACAATTTAAAGAAGCTTCATACACATGCATCATCACCAGAGTGTCACTTATCATCACCTCAGCTCCAAGGTCCAAGATAATTGAATGAAAATTGATACACATTTGTACCACAAGTTGCGTAATCTTTTCATCCCCCAGCTCTGAGGTCAAGGTGAGATGATTTATGAGGTGAGGTCATTATGATAATGTTTTATTGAGTCTCTTTAACTTTCACCTTCATCTGTTAGTTTGGACTTTTGACATGTAAGAACAGGAACAAACTCTCGGGGATTGTCGGGATGTGCAGTAAAACTGCTGGTACAGCTCTACAGAACCTCACTGACCTACACGAGGTGAGGTCAGTGAACAAGGCCTGGCTGATTCTGGCAGATCCTGATCACCACTCCATGATGAGTTCAGGTTGCTTCCATCTGGATGCAGATATCTGCTGCCCAGATGTAGAACGAACAGACTGAAAAACTCTTTCATCCCTGTAGCGATCATTCATTCATTCAACCTTTATTTATACACGTTAATCCCATTGAGCCTCAGGGACTCAGTTACATCAGGCTTCTCAACAAACAGTGATGATTTCATGTTCCGTTATTTTAACGTCTCCATGTCTTGTCTAGTATGGAGGCTTTATATCTCTACTGACTGTGAAACAAATTGGCCCTTGGGGATAATAAATATTCTTGAACTTGAACTTAAAGGTCACAAATCAAGGCCAACTGTTATGCGCGGTTTTTGCTTGTCCGTGCCACAACATCTGATTCGCTCAAGATAATTCAACAAAACTTCATACACCGCTAGACTGCATGCCACGTAATCTTTTCATCACCTCAGCTCCAAGGTCAAGGTCACAAGATCAAAGGTTATACAAGGTCTCTGCTGGTCCAGGCCATTGTTTCAGATTGCTGTGTGATAGTTTGTCGATGGGCGTGTAATGTACTGTACGTGGTCCTGTTGTTTGCTTCCACTGACCTCCCTCCATTCTGTACCTCCTCACGACCCCTAACAGAAAACAAACCTCAGCTCTCAGAAAGCTCAGCTGAGTCAATTTAACACATTTGAGAAATGTTTCACGCATTTACTGCTGCCTCAGTTTTAAATGTGTGTGCCTGTTTTTCTGGTCCCAGTGGACCTTTTCGTTGTTATCGTTCCATTCTCAGCTCCTGCTCTGCACTTTTTGTTTCTGTCATTCTCACATTCTTCCCCTCACTTCTCGTCTTTTCAAACTGTGCATGTGGAGGTTTGGGCTCCTTATCTCCTCACCGTTTGCTGCTTCGCTCCAGTTTCCTGTGTACCTCTTTAACTCAAACTATGCACACCCGGCCTGCAGCCCCACACCCCCACACTCACACTCACGCTGTGTGTTTTTATGGCGGCCTCTGGTGAGTCTTGTCAATGCTGCCTGGTGTGCAACACTTTACTTCTACATCCTGTCTGATCTTAACTCACCTGCTTTAAAGGTGTAATCCCATTTCACATCAGCAGTGGAAGTCGATTTAAAATGTTTCTTTGTGTAGAAGCTTGTTGATCACACATCTGTTTGAAAAACACCAGAAACATTGTGCGATGGACTTTGTTTTACAGAAACCTGAAAACCTAGACAATAAGTTAACTACCATATTTTTCACCCTATAATTCACAGGGTTTTTTTTGCATAATTTGCATGCCCTGCAACTTATATACCAAAACTATGTATTTATGGATTTTTTTCCCATATTTATAAACCAGTTTTTGGCTGCGATATGACTGTTTTCATTAATTCTGACTGAAAAAAATTGAATACCATTTTCAGCTGCTAGATGGCACTCAAGTATGGCATGCTGTTGTATCATGGAATAAGTAAAAGTGGCTATTAATGACACAATCAGCTTGCCATAGATCGCCATCGTCGTCTGCCTGGAGCAACCGTCAAATCAGCTTAATTTTGCTGCGCTGCCCCAGAGAAATGCAGCCGATTTGACCAATGACTTGCATTTATTAAGTAAAAGTTCAACTGAGACACACCTTTGCCTAATGTTGAGCAAACGAATACTTATTTTTAGGTGCTTATTTTGTTAAATTTCGAAGAAATGCACAGCAACTCCTCCCTCTGCGTGTTCATGTTTCCGCATATCATCTTTTGAAAATGCAGCTGATTTGACCGTCAGAGTGCGTTTGTTAAGTAAAAGTTAACCTGAGACACAACTTTACTATAATGTCGAGCAAACAAATAATTGTTTTTAAGTGTTAATCTTGTTAAATTCTTGTTGAAGTCCTCCCATGCACGCTCCCATGGCCGCCATTTGACAACCAATGGATTTTTGGCACAACACCGACCCACATTTCCGTGTTGTCAGTGGTGACGAGTAACAAGCGTGACGCGTCAGCGGTGAAGCATAATAGATGTGAATCATACGGCGAAGCGACATATTTATGGATTTTTCCACTTTATTAGATATATTTGGACTGATGCGACTTATAGGGTGGTGCGACGGGTACGGCGGAAAATACAGTAATTTAAAGATGTTAACGGTTGAAACAACTTCAGTCTCAAAGATTTTATAGCAATTGTTATTTTACATCACCAGTAAGTCCATCTTAGTTTTATCGTAGGTTTTTGTGGTTATTTGCGACCACAAATAGTGGCAACAGATTTATTTCTTCAGCCTGAGGCACTTCCGACTGGAATATATCATATTTCTGTTGGAATAACTATGAACTGCAGAGCTGACAGTGGTGCAAAGGTTTATAAAATACTGTCTGAAATATTTAATAAAAATAACTGTTGTTGACATCCAGTAGATAAATGCCGAAGTATTAAAATGCTCTACTTTACTGTATTATTGAAACCTTCATACGAAGCTTAAAAGGATTTCCTCTCTCCTCTCTTTTCTTTGCAGAGCGGCAAAAAGACGGTAAAAGCCGTGTTGTGGGTTTCAGCAGATGGACTCAGGGTTGTAGATGACAAAACCAAGGTGAGAAGTCTTATTTGCAACTCTGTTCTGCTCTCCCCTCTCTTACTTGCACCTTATCACTTGATGACAAGGAGAGCAAGTGGTACGCTGATGTCCCCCGTAGCTGAGGGATTTGAATACTGGATGTTTGTAGTTTTGGAGATGAGTGTTTTTCTGGACTGGAATTGAACAGAGCATGTAAACCTTAATGTTTTTGATGCAAGATATTCAAGTGTGTAGAAGTTACACTGTGGAGAAGAACAGAGAGAGGTTTTTTTATTTTCTTGTCCAAGGCAGCTCAGAGTGACAGATCCTGTTGAGTGGAGGGAGCAATTTTACCCCCCACCAGGAGCACTGGTAGAGCTAGGGGGTGGCCAGTGGTGACCTTCACCACCACAGGTTAATCTTCGGTAACCCCAATAATTTGAGGCAACTGAACTTTAAGAAACATAAAAACTACAAAGCATAGTTTCCTCAAATTATAGGAGTGGCCGGTTTTCATATGTATTTGGTGGTGGCCATCTTGAATTTTGATGTGGCAGCCCAATTTTTGATTGAGACATTTCATGCACCTACATGCAGCCACACAACAAAACAGAAGTTGACACATTGCTTCTTTTTTTTTTTCCAAGTTAACCAGCTCACAGGACAGACAGACACATAAGGCAGCAGCCATCTTGGTTTTTGACAGGGCAACGCAATTGTCAACAGGAACTTTTTTTGACTAAATGTGATCACACACCAGTATGCAAGCTGGTACCACACCTATTTTTCAAGGTATTGTGCTTACAGCAGTGATGGATGGATGGAGGGTATTTCTGATTCCCTGTCTTTGCTCTGCAATGGAGGACAAAAAGGATACATTTTTCTTTTGTAGACATATCGAGTGCACACAAAGGTATTTTACCTGCAGCTGCAGGTAATAGCCTCTTTAGAGATAAATGCATAAAGTAAAGGTTAAATGGTCATAAGAAAATTAAAATGCCTGATATTATCAGTGTCTATGCATGTGAGTCATCTTTGCTAATGCTGCTTAGTGCAGCAACGAAGATCAAGTAACAACAGACACACGTGCACTTCAGGGTGTCCGGCACCACTGGAGGCCTCCTGCAGTGAGTGCAGAAAGCTGTGGCTCTGTTGAACACTGAGCAGAATGAAAAACAGCCGAGAACAGAAGAGAGACACAAAGCTCACAGAAAATAGACCTTCTTCCCCTTTACTCTTTTTGTTTTGACACCACTCATGTGACCTCACTTTTCCAACCCCCTAATCCCACTCTTTGATTTATGGAATCACCGTCCTCCTTTTACCTTGTCAGTATAAACCTGATCTGTCTCATGCCAGATTAGCTCTAGTGTTCTTCAGAAGCTTCTAAACATGTTGCATGTGGTGGGAAACTGACTTCTGTGTTAAACAAAATCTAATTTTATAGGACTGCCACAGTGTTGTATTTCAAAATGTGAAGAATTTGGGTGTAAAAAATAAGTTTTGTGACATATATGAGAGTATGATATCCTCTTGTTTAGTTTCTGAAGGGTGAGAAACCTTTTTCACACTGCAGTCGGTGTTTCAGTTCTTCTGTGAGCCTGAGGGAACATCATGTAGTTTTCTGTCAGCACCTGACCATGGTCTCACCCACCATCCTCTGGGTCTTCTCCTACTTACCTATGCTCTTTGTTGCTTTACTCATTTCCCCCCCTTGTATTTAAGTAAAGTCTAAACCAAACCACAAAAGCAACTTGCAAATTAAACTTTTATATTTTTTAAATGTAACTTTTATTCATACAGGTCGTCTCATTGAGTCACGAGGACTCATTTTCAGGAGAGACCTGTTTTAGACAGACAACATACAACAAACAATGCAATTAAAATAAAAACAGTGTTATAAAAACACTGTTACTGTTGGCACATGGTCCCGTTAGCAGCATGATGATAATAACGACCACGGCAGCGGACGATGACTGCCCTCCAGAACTGGGTCCGGCAGACACAGAACATTCAAAGTTCCCCGTGGAACCGAACTATTCCGTAGAGTTCGGTCCGTGCAGGCAGATGGAGGATCATGGAGACAGCTGCCATGGTCGCTCATGGGTTGAGAGCTCTTGAGTAAAATCTTAGAACGTCTTCTAAGTTCATATTTGATGAACGCATGCCAAGTAGAAAATGTTGGTTTTGTACGTATATCAGTACACAATGTGACCTGACAGTACACAACTGGTACTCTTATTCTACATATGCTCCAACAAAGCATTAATTATGCAGCAGCAACTACACAGTTTATAGCCAAGAACACAAAGGTACTCACCACTTGTCAAACTTTTTCTCACAGGCCTATACACAAAGTATTGTATACATGGTCATAAGTTTGTAGATATGCCTGTCACAATAACAATAAATCAGTTAATCGCATAATGAATTAAAATTATCGATCTCATATTCATTTATCGGCTTTTTCATTTCTTCGTGTCTCTCTCTTTCTACTGAAGACACTGGATGACAAAAGGCTCAACTCTGGTGTTCTTCACTGACCCCGCCCTTTCTCTTTTCTCTTTAAAATCTATTTTAACGATCCAAAATCACGTTTTTGGATCGTTAAAAGCAGCTAAGCTGAGAAGCTAAGCTACGAGCTAAGCTAACAGGCCAACCTCGGGAAAAAAACCTCTGTCTTGTCAAAGCTCCAAAATTCACGGTTGAAACCCGTGCCTTCATCTAAAAATTTGTTTTTCTCTGCAAAAAGAAGCTGAGAACTTGTTTACTGTTTTTTTATTAACAGTTTTGTGTGAAAAATGTTATGCTAAAGAGCTCAAACCACACTGAGCGTCCGCCATTTTGAGAACCGACTAAAGGAAAAAGAGACAGCCGATGTCACGTCAAGGGGCCTCCTTCCCATTTTTCTTAAAGAGACACGCTGCTCGCTCCCTCACTATCCATCCTTTGGTTCAAACAGTCTTATACTGCCATGCGGTGGTCAAAAAAATATACTACATGCAAAACAATCTAACAAACAATTTTTCTTAAATAATACTAATTATTGTCAAATATGAAACAATTTTATCGTTTATCACAATAATTTCTGAGACAATTAATCGCCCAGCAAAATTTGTTATCGTGACAGGCCCATTTCTAGGTGTGTTTGAGCAAAAGCACTTGGACACCAATGGTGTCATTTTGCTTCAACTACCGTTACTTTTATTTCCAGAAGCCGGCTGTTGTGTGCGCAAACAACAGGGACGTCTTTGAGGAGCAGTTGGTCAGGACAGTCCATTTGTAAGACTCTTACAGATACACTTGTAAAGGTACCACTTTATAATAAGGCTCCCCTTATAGATGGTTAATAAATAGTTAATAGATATGTTATTAATTCCTCTATAAACACTTTATCAATCATTAATAACTTCTTATTATGCATAAGTTAAGGGTGACAAAGAGACAAAACTGACCAGTTTCTTGATAAATAGTGAGCCAAATCTGTTCACCTATATATTTAATCTAGAGTTGTTATATTAAACATTTCAGACTAAGTTACTACCTTGTAAACACAATAAGCATTTGTAAACCCAATGTTTTTTAGGATGTACTTTATCACTGCATTATAAGTATCTACAACTATAGATACACTAACCAGAAGATGACAGTCATGTAACGTGTAGCTCACAGTGATCCACTCACAGAAAATTCCCACCAAACTACAGATTTATTGTATTTCAACTCTTTGCTTTCACTCCTGTTGCAGCGTAGGTTTCAGGTGCACTTTATTGTTTGTTTATTGTTGCTTTAAATAAAATATTCAGCACGGCTTATCAGTAATAATCATACAGATGAAACAATAAATCGTTGAGATATTTTGCAGTTACACATTATTCTCAGGAGAGGGTGGAGACCCCAACACAAAAAATGAAAACTGATTCAGTCCTTGTTAGATGGAGGCTAATCCCTCTGCAGGGCGAATACATAAAGACAACATCTAATAAATAATATTTGTTGAATGTGGATTTAACTTATTCCTTATTGATGCCTCTTCTACTGAGCCTCTTCATCTTTCTGCAGCCATCTACGACTCATTCAGACCTGTTCCCACTCTGTAAATGGTTGATTAATGCATGTGGACCACAGCAGTTTTACAGGGTTTTCTCCGCACATCATCACTAGAAAGAAAACTGTAACTTATTTGTCTGGTTCAGCAGCTTGTTTGAGTTAGAGAGATGTTTCTGCATCAGTGACAAACTGTGCCGCAGTGCTGTTTTCTTCCTTTCACTGATACGAGTATGTAGACTGACACTCCCACAATGATTACGTACACAACACCAGAATATTAATGCATAGAACAACAATTACTACAGTTTTATGTGTTTACAGCAGCAAGAAACCCAGACTCACACAATGCCCTCTGCTCAGCCTTTCACCTTGGTACCAGCATTCCCTTTGAGTCACTAATTGGCCCATATTGAATAGACTTGATTTTTCCACCTCCTTCTCCTCACATCCCTCCATCCCGTCCTCCTTCTCTGCCTCATCGTCCCCTCTCTGTGTTCTCTCCAGCTCTGAAAGAGAGGAAGGAAGTGTGTGGATGAGTGTGTGAACCCTGTAGCCTCTCGCCTCTTGTTTTCCCTCTCTTTCTGTTTTCAAGTGCGAGTCAAAGCAGTGAGCCGGGGGCCCCTTAATATACACAGAGAACGACCGGGGGCCCGCTCAGTTTCATCTGTAGGACCAGCTAAATAACCCTTTTATAGGAGGAAGGATAAGCAGTGGAGTCATCCCAGAGATTAAAAGAGGGTCAGGGACATTAGTTGGTAGTTAGTGTCTTCTCTGTCATAAGTGGATAAGTAAATGTGTTGGGATGGGGGGTGGGGGGGAGGTCATTATGGGATTAAATGAGATTTTAAAGCAGCGTGCCAAATGCACTCACAGCACCCATATATAATGGTTTGATTTAAGTTAATGATTTAATTTTAAAGGAGCTGGCACATCTAGACCTGTTACCAGAGAGCAGAAGGGTTGGCATCATTGGCGGAGTCATCCTG